TTGAGACAGGGTCTCATTATGTAGTTGAGACTGCCCTGGAACTCACTTTGTAGCCCAGGTCGGTCTGGAACTCACAGAGGTCCTCCTGCCTTAGCCTCCCCAGTGCTGGGATTACAGGCGTGCGCCACCACGCCTGGCCAATTATTAACATTTTCAATAAAGACAGGATCTGATTTTCTCTGGACTCAGGCTTGATTCAGCACAGCATGCGTACTGGTCCTGTCTCCCAGTTTCTGACTGAGGCATCTTAGTGATGGAAATCTTTGAGATAAGCAGTGGTTTGCTTGTTTGTTGGGGGTGAGAGGAGAGAAAGACTTTGGTCTTGAACTATTAAATAAGAGGTGTCTGAAGTGTCCAGTTGGACAGGTTTGGGTTGGAAACTCTGCCTGCCAAGCCAGGTGACGAGTGGCAGAAGGACAGACAGACACCGTCACTTCACATCCTTGGTCGGTGACTGGTGTACACTCAGCACGTGTGGTCCAATCCGTGATCTTCAAAGTTTCCATCATAGTTCAGGGATCTTCGGATTCTCTCTTTCCCATCCTAAGCCTCAGATATGTCTCATGGGGGAATGGAAGTTCTTTTGCTTGGGTATTAAAAACATCTGAGAAAACGAGAAACAACAATTTCCCTAGAATTACACAACTATTCCATAAAGAGGGAAAGACAAGAATTTATATAAACGGATTGGATTTCTTCTTGATTAGCTGATTCTCCAGAAAGAGAATGAGAGCGAAAAGAGAAGAAATGAAGGAAAAAAGAAAGATTATAGGAGCTAAAAGTACTAGGAGGAAAGTTTGGCTAAGCATCAAAGACAGGCAGATGTGTTTCCAAACAGAGGCTTTGATTTAGATATATCAGGAAGCAAAACTCCAAATGATGGGTGGAAAATTAAGAGCAAGAATACAATAAAAAAGCTTCATAGGAGAATCAAACTGAGGAAGAAGCCATCCATTAATATAGGTCCAACTACCTCAACCCCAAGAGTTGATACCGAGAATGGAAACTCTCACCATGGTTTCAGGTCCCTGGGTCAAATGGTCTTTCCAACCTGAAATAAGACTTTATAATTTTTTTTTTTTTTGTACTAGAAATCAAACTCACAATCTCGGGCTTGTGAGGTGGGTGAGGTAGGTGCCACTGAGCTAAATCCCCCAGCCCAAGAATTTATAATTCTTAACCTTTTGTGTGTGTGTGTGTGTGTGTTTTGAGACAGGGTCTCACTATGTAGTTGAGACTGACCTGGAACTCACTATGTAGCCCAGGCTGGTCTCGAACTCACAGCGATCCTCCTGCCTCAGCCTCCCAAGTGCTGGGATTACAGGCGTGCACCACCACACTCGGCTTATAATTCTTAACCTTTGAGAGAACAATCTCTGCTGATGTCTAGCTACTTTCCTACTGCATCCTCACCTTCCCACATCCCTTCCCATCTAATGACACGTGAACTGTTCTGGAATGCTCCCACAGCTGAATAGGGAGTGGAGCTCCTGCACGCCCACCACTTTCGGGAAGTCAGTCAATCCGACGTCAGTGAAGATGGATCTGATACCCAAGGCAGATCAGACTGCCTACCTTCAAGGGGCTCACTGCGTGGCTTCATAAATCTGAGACAAAGAAAGCATCAAGTGTTGGATTGCGTCCCTGAGACCCTGGGCAGCAGGGGCTAGAGAGAGAGGGTTCCATGAGTGAATAGGTGACAAAGTTAATGATGTTCATAACAACATCGTCCATTTATTTATTTACTTTTCTGTATCGGGGATCAAACTCGGGACCTTGCGCTTGCGAGGCAGGTGGCAGCACCATTAAGGCTAAATCCCTGGCCGTATCTATTTATTTTTTGCAGCTACTCTCCCAAATTCAGTCTAGGCCACCCCATAGCCAGAAAGCCCAGACTTTTCTTTCTTCTCCCAACCTAGCGCAAGAATATTATTCGCTGCTAACTATGCGTCGGAAGTCACGCCGTGCGCCACCATTGGGTGGGCGCTGTCACCATCCCCTCCTCGCAGATAAGGACCCGAGGTGCATTTGCCCAAGAAGGGGGCACGTGGCCAGCCCGGGGCGGGGACCCTCCAGACCCCAAACGTGGAGCCTGACGGGCTGGAGCCGCAGAGGTGGGAGTGACCGAAGGCCAGGCGAGAAAGCCGGGTTGAGAAGTGGGCCCGGGACGCCAACTTGAGCAGAAGTCCCGAGCCTAGAGCCTCCAGACAGACAGAACTCGGCCGGGCCCAGGGCGGGTACAGGGCGGGC